TCCCACCTCTCAGTTCTTAACACATGGTCACGAGTTAGTCTGCGAAGACCCTCTATTGTTTGTATTATTTTCTTCTTCCTCCCCCTACTCAATTCTGACTTTGCCAAAACCTCTGCTGTTTGATATGTCCTTAAATATTTGAGATTTCTTGTAAAATGCATAGTAATTGTTTTATGCGTTTATGTATTTTTTAAATTCTTACTAAGGTATAACACGTGGAAGAGCACACAAATCATAAGTGTACAGTTCAATGAACTTTGAAAAACTGAACACAACCATGTAAGCAGCACTCAGATCAAGCAACAGAACATCAGTAGCCCCTAAGGATATCCCCTTCAAGCCCTCCTAACCACTACCCGAAGAAGAACCACTCCCCTGACTTCTAACACCATGCACGGGTTTGGCTTGTTCTTGAACTTTGTACAAATGGAATCCCAGCGTGTGCTTTTTGTGCCTGACTTCTTTCTTTCACCATTTTATTCATGAGATTTATCTCTACTGTTGTGTGTAGCTATAGATCACTTACTCTCAATGGCGTAGTGTATTCTATTGGATGACTACACCATAATTAAACCATTCTGCTGTTGGTGGACATGTGGTGGTTTCCAGCTTGAGGCTGTCACAGAGTGCAGATATAAATAATCACATATGTATCTTTGGGCACACACACACGTACGCATTTCTGTTGTATGTATACTTAGGAGTGGGATTGCTGGGTATGTTATCAGTAGTAGATACTGATAAACTGGGCATATATTCTAAATCCACATAAATATTATTGTGCTGTAAGTCATGTTTATTTCCTACCTTTTTTTTTTTTTGCTCCTCCTGGTGTTTCTCTGATCTATCCATGTACTCTGTGTACCTATAGTTCCTTGCTCCTGGCAGCTCCAGAGAACCCAGAACTGCTTTCCTCACATTTTACTTGTCCTCTCCCTTGGTTGTGGATGCTCGAGTCTCCTTTTTCTCCCCATCAGCACACACAGTGCCACACCAAACACCTTAGTGTGCTGTTGCCTTGTCACAGGACAGGCATACACTTGTTTTTCTTAAATGCTGCCACATTCTTCTCCAGGACAGCTGTACTAATTTACACTTTTACCAATGATGCACATCCTCACCAACATTAGGCACTATCCACCTTCTACGGCTTGCCAGTGTGGTAGTATATTTACCGAACCATCTCAGGTGGATGGACCTTTAAATTGCTTTCCATCTTTTGGGATTATAGATGCTGCTGCAATGATCCTTCAGGAACACATCTCCTGGTACTTGTCTGTGAGTTCAACTTCTCTGCCTCATCTTCCACCACTCTTCTTGAACCCTAGGTGGGAACCCTGACTTTCCCACCTCTCTCTGCCTATGCTCAGGCTGTGCCCTCTGCCCTCTGCCCTCTGCCTTTGCTTTCCTTCTCTACTTCTGCGTGCTTACTCCTCCCATAATGCCCCTCCTCCTAGAAGACCCTCCTTCTCTGACCTGACCCCTCAAGAAGGTTGCTAACCATCATATTCTCCAGAAGGACTTTGGTCCTCCTTTTCTTCTGGCATCAATCCCTTACCTCTTTTGAAATAGACCCATTTTTTGCTATGGTTTTGGCTTTCTTACCGGCCTGGGAGCTCACTGAGGCCAGAGGCTCTGTGGGCTTCCCCTCAGGTACCCAGGATTTTCAGAGGATGCCTCACAAGAAGTCTGCTGAACAACTGAGCAAGGCTATGACCTAACCATGCCTTGGAGGGAATTAAGGGTCTAGTCTGTCTGGCTGTCTGTCTGTCTGTCTGTCTTCTTTACCAGCCAGAACTTTTCAGGAGTAACTCATTCTACTGGAAAGAGGGTAGAACATGGAATTAAGACTTCCCCTCTCTTGGGTGGAGATGAGTGACTTGACCCATCTGTAAAATGGGTGTTAGCAAGGTAAGAAAGACAAACGTGTCCCCTTTGTACCTTTGAATTTTGAACCATGTTAATGTATTAATTATTAAATAAATAAAACAATCATGTTTGTTTAAAGGACTTTCAGATTCTATAAGGAAGAAAGTGACATCAGAACAGAGATGACATTCCAAGATTATTGAATTGAAGGTGTCTTAGTGGTTCCCTTGTCTTACAAGTGAGGAAGCTGAGGCCTAGGGAGGGAAGGTTACTTGCTCAAGGTTACCTTGAGCAATTAATGGCAGAATCAAGAGTGGCTGTTACCTGAATTATAGACCTGGGTCCTTTCATGTCACAGCTGGCTCAGGATCACTAAGCATTGATGTGCCAAGCTCTGCTAAGTGCTAAGGACACAGTGGTGAACAAGATAGGCATGATTACTGCCTTCACAGATTTTATATTCTAGACAAGAAACAAATACATATTATAACTTCATATAGTGATAAATGCTTTGGATAAAAAATAAAGCAGATGAGGGGATAAAGTGTCAAGGGAAAATTATCAGGAAAACCCCTCTGAAGAGGAAACATTTTAGAGAAGAGAAAGATGGAGCTTCTGAATACCTGGGGGAATAAAAGTCACAAAAGCTGGGTGGGAGGGAGAAGGTTGGAGTGTTAAAGGAATAGCAAAAAGCCAGCGTGGCTAGAACAGAATGAGCAAGGGAGACAGAAGGAGGTGAGGTCAGAGAGGAGAGTGGGAGAGAGTCTATAGGCAGGGCTGAGGACTTTGGCCCAAAGTGAGGTAGGTAGTAGTCAGAAGGTTCTCAGCTGACAAGGAACCTGATCAAATTTCCTCTTTTAAAAGGGCCCCTCTGGCTAATGGTGGAGATGGAACATTAGGAGGGGAAAGATGGGCTGCAGGGAGCACAGTGAAGAGGCATAGCCTGGGGCAGTGTGGTGGGGAGCAGAAGTCTTCCCATCTGTGCAACTAGGGAGTTAGATGAGAGATCCCTTAGGGCCTTTCCAGCTCTGGCAGTTTGTAATTTGGTGGATTATCTCAGCACACACTAAGGAGGTGTAGCCAAGCCACTGTTTTTCTTTTCTCATAATCTCAGTTTCTTCTCTTGGATTCTGAGTCTCGACAGAGCCCAGATGATCTGAGGCTCAGAGCAATGACTCCTGACCACCCCCATCACTGCCAGTCCCACTCCTGTTCCCACCTCCAAGGGACAGATGGGCGGGCAGCAGAAGGCAGTTGAGCCTCAATGCCTGCAGGGCCCCGGGAGAGAAAATTATCCGAGAGTTCATAACCCCTCTCTGCCTTGCAGATCTTGAGTTAAAAGCCCCAAATGTCACAGCCCCAAGAGACAAGGGTTGGAGGGTGCCAGGAGAGGGGCAGACCAGGTGCTTTTATGACAGCAGCTGCCCACATGGGGCAGAGACCTGGGTTGCTAAGAACTCCAGCCCTGGGAGCGGGAAGCCATTAGCACTGAGGCTGAAAACTGGTGGCCTTCAGGCTGTGTCTGACCCACTGACCTATTTACTTGGCCTGAAAAGTGTTTTGAGAAAAAAAATGGAACCAACATTTAAAAATCAAGAGATTTTACAATACAATCCAGATTTCTGGTTTCTCTTGAATAATCTGACCATACCAACTGCCTATTCCCATATGACAGCATTCAGCAGTAGCTGATTACCAGCTGTCCCCATTATTATATTATTTTACTAATAGATAAATACATTTACGTGATTCCAAAAAAATATGTAAATTGGCATATAGTAAAGTCTTCTTCCTATCTTTGTTCTCCTTCTTCCCAGTGCCCCCTTCAGTAATTTCGTTTTCTTATGTATACTTCTAAAGTTTCTTTATGCACATACGAACATGCATATATTCTCCCTTTTCACTCAGCTTTGTCTCCTGTCCCTTGCTTTCCCCAATGGAGGCCTCTCTGAATTAGAAGGGCTTCACCACCTTCTTTACTGCCCCATGCTATTCTGTTGTCAGGAAGTCCATGATTGATTTAGCCAGTCCCCTACCGATGGGCATTTGGGTCCTTCCCAATATTTGCTGTTATAAACCATGCTGTGTCAATTATCTCACACATCATTTGCTTAGGACCTAAAGGAATATTATTAGAAACTGGTCCAAGCTGAGGGTGCAATAGGCATGGACTGAGCTCTCAGTTAATTGAGGAAATGTGATGAGAGTTATTCCCGAGTGATTCTCAACAAAGCCCGGAGACCATGCCCTTGAGGACTAAGGAAAAGCGCCCAGATTTTCTTCTGCCACTTGATAGATATGGGACTTCCCTCTGGGCCTCAGTGTCCCCATCTGTAAAATTAGAGAGGGGTTCAGGGAACTGGATGAGATCTCAAAGGGCCTGGCAATTTCTGACCAGCTGTGGTTTACCTTCTACCTCCACATGAGCCAGACCCAGCCTCTTCTCAGCCCTTGAATGAGCCTGGCTCAACCCTATTACAGAGCCTTTGCCCAAGCTGTTCTGCCACACCTGCCCCTTACCCCCGCTGGAACACCACTCTTGTACTTCTTTATTGGTCCTAGTCTGAATCCCTGATCTCATGCTACTCAGAACACACTAGTCCAAAGTGCTTAGGGCAGAGTTCCCAATATGATACCACTGACAGGTGGGTCACTTTCACCTGACCTGCACTTTAAACACTCCATCAAATCCTTCCTTCCTCTGTGTTACCCTGCCCTGTTGCCTGAACTAGAGTTCTTGAATGCCAGCTCTGCTATTTTCTAACTAATGGCCTTGGGCAAGTGACAGTACCTCCCTGAGTCCCAGTTTCTTTACCCAAAAAGTGGCTGGTTTGAGAATAATGTGGCAATATCAGTATAGGTCTTAGCATGACTCCTGACATACAAAGGGACTGTTAATTCTATAAGTCACTGCCCTTGTCTGAAACAGTTCCTTGTTTACAAAATGGGGAAAGTAATAGAACCTATTTCGTAAGGTTGATCATTCATTCATTCATAGTTCATTCATTCAATCAGTGATTTTTTATGGAATACCCGCTGAATGCTAGGCACAGCAGTGGGTATTGGGCAATTTGCTGGTGAAGAAAATGGATGAATCTTTCCTCTGTGGCAGCCATTGAAGAGCAGCAGCCATGGCTCTGCATTACTCCATGGCTGTGGTCCGCAACACGGGCCATAAGGTGACCAAGAACATGAGCAAGCTGAGGCACAGGCATCACTGCAGATGCCTCACCAAGCATACCAAGATTGTGTGGGACATGATCTGAGAGGTGTGCAGCTTCACCTTGTGTGAGCTGCACGCCAGGGCACAGCTCAAGGTCTCCAAGGACAAGCAGGCCCTCAAATTCATCAGGAAAAGGGTAAGGACACAAACCCATGCCAAGGAGAGCTGAGTAATGTCCTGGTGACCAAGAAGGACTAAGCCCCCTCCCCTCTGTGAGTAATAAAACCTTATAAGAAAAAAAGATGAATTGTCCCAACTTTCATGGAGCTCCCAGGTGATTCCATACAGACAAATATAAAAAGATAAACTGCCAGTATACTGATGTCAAGAAGGAAAAGACTAAAGTGTCATGGAAACTCATAACAGAGCTATGTCAGGGAGACTTCTCTGAGGGATAGGGATCAGGGCACAGCTGGGTGGGAGATCTAGGAGGGCTTCCTGTGGGAGACATCACACCAGCTAACAATCAGCATTAATTATATCACCACAGTCCTAGGAGGAAAGCACTAGTTACCACCTCCCCCTTCATTATACTTTCTTTTCTAAAGCTAGGAGAAATTGAGTGACTTGCCCAAGGTCACGGAGCCAGGAAGGGATTAGTAGGTTTTGAACCTAGGTTTCCTGGCTCCAGAGTCTCAGACATAAAATTATGTCTTCGATTGCCTGTTTGAACAGGCCTATCCTGGGATTTAGAGAGGCATGGCTGGTAGAAGGCCTCTCTCCACTGGGAGGTGCGGGGCGGGCAGAAGTGAGAACCTAATTCTGTCAAGCTCCATCCAGGCACCTGTGAGAAGGCAAAGATCCAGACACATGCAGAACTGGCCCAGAGTTATAAGGGGGTCGGGGGTCAGATCTTTCCTTTGCCCAGGATTCTGTACACTCCATGAGTCTCCCTGTCTATGGTTGTAGGAGAAAAAGGAAAAAAAAAGATATTGCTCCTGCCTAAATCACATTGGGACTCAGACTCCCCTCCAACCCAGTCCACAAAAACTCCCACTAGTCTATACATGCCTGTGGATAGAACTGAGAAACTGTCAGCTTTGAATTGAGCCTGGAAAACTCCTTTAATCCCTAATTTTTCCTCCTCCATTTTCAGCCTTGGGCAACAGCTGGCACTTCAACCTCCTGAGCATTGCTGGGACCAAAACAGTCCCTGGACACGAAGAGGGATGCTGGCCTGCAGGACTGCAGATGGCTGCTCCTTCCTGACCCAGGGCAGCTGTCTCCCTTCATCTTTTCTTCTTTGCCACTCTGAGGCGCAGTGGTTCTCAAACCTCCCTCCTCCCCTCTTCTTTCTTCGCTTTCTCTCCTAATTCTTCTCCTACTCTTGAGAGGTAGTAAAACCTATTCTAGAGCCAGTTTATAGGTTTGAATTTGGCTCTAGCACATTCTGTGTGACTCCGAACAAACTAGTTAACTCCTGTGTGATTCAGTTTCTTCATCTGTAAAATGAGAGGGAAAATGTAAATTATCTCACAAATTATGAGGATAAAATGAATTAGTAATTATACAGTGCTTAGAAGTCCTAGGCAAAGAGAGACTGCTGTAAGAGTGTATAATAAATACATCCACTTTGGGCAAAGGGTGGGAGTATGAGGAATCCTACCCCCTCTCCTGAATTACTGTTGTATTCTCCCTCTGGTCTCTTGACCCTCAGGCTGTTTTGCTAAGAGCACTTCTCTCCTCTGGCTGCAGGGTCTTCATTCAAATTCCTTGACTTGATCATATTACCCTCCTGGTCAAATAATGCAGTGGTTCACCATTGCTTCCTGGATAAAGCATATCTTCTGGCTCTTTAGGATCTCATCCCTCAGAATTCTCCAACCTCATCTTTCCCCCTCCCAGAATCTGTGATCCAGATTTCCTTGAAAACGTGCCCTCCACTCTCGGGCCTCCAGGCCTTTGCACAAGTTCTTCCCTCCTCTGGTGTTTCCTCCCTTCCCTTCCCCTCCCTTATTGTCCCCTCCCCTGCCCCTACACTACTAGGGCTGTGGCCATATGAAAACAGTCCTTAAGGAGGAAAAGGGGAGAGTGGGGAAGAGACAGCAACTCTCAAGACCTAAGTTTTCTCAGCTTGAAAACAGTAAGAAAAAGACAATAAGAAAAGAGACCTCTGAGGATCAAAGAAGGGGACGGGACAATATGTGAACACTGTAAACTATGAAGTGGCGCGTTAGCATCGCGTGACGGCTAAAGGGTTACAGGGGCACCCGCCTAAGCAGTCCCTTACTTCTAAGTTCCTGGTTTACCCCTACCCTTCAGGCCACTGGAGGTAAACCGAGGAGGTAAATGGAAGAGGAGAGGATGGAGAGAAGGGCGGTGAAGAATAGAGAAAGGAAGTGGAGTGGGGCGGGGTGGGGGGTGGGAGTAAGAGGCAGAGAGCATGTGGTTGGGGCCCCACACCTCTGAGGAAGGAAGGAGAGGGTGACCTGGGATGCTCTCCCCTCCCCTCTCCCTCTCCCTTCCCAAGGGGGAACCCGGATCCGGCCACAGCCCAGGCAGGGTGGGGGAGGGGCGAGGGCGGCGCCGAAGAAAATGAATAATTAAAGTAGAAGGAAGGAGGAAGAAGAGGACAAGGAGGAAGAGGAGGAGACGGGAGCCACCCACGTAGGGTCCTCCCCACTCCGCACCCCACCCCCTCCGCCTCCCGGAAGTCGCTCCCCGCCTCCTGCTCCGCCAACATGGCCGCGAAGTCTGATGGA